ACAAACATACCTTCTTTCTACCTTATGATTTGTCCCGAGTTTCATGCAACGGCCTCTTGATTCTGTTACAGTCATTCTTCCTGCTTAAAAGGTAGACGTGTCTGAATTTTCTGCATCTTATCAGCTACAAATGTTGACAACGTGCATTCCAGACAGTCACGTGTTCACTTCTAGCCTGTCACCTGCCTGATGAACTTTATGCCCTTCTTGAGCTTTGGCCTGAAAGTTTCAGGCACCAAATGAATGCAGACCAATTGCCCCAGACTTGCTCAGAACACTTTTTGGTTTCACCAGGAAAGCAGGTTAGTTCTGTTGGCGATAAAGATAAAAGCAAGGAAAATATTTTGCAATATGGGGACTGCTTCACTAGTCTACCACTACATTTTTTTTTTCCTCCCCCTCCTCTCCTCCTTTTTAGGAAATTTGCACCTGCATGTATTCCTTCACTGAGCATTAAATTCTAGTTTAATGGAGAATGGACACACCTCATATCACCACAACACTGCAAGTGGTACCCAAGGAGACAGATAATGACCTAGTTATTCAGACACACAAATGCTGTCTGAAATGAAGAAAAAAAAAAAAAAAAAAAAAAAAAAAAGAAACCCAGCACCCACACATGCATTATAGCTATAAAAAGGCAATGTAAAAAGCTAAAAAGCTTCAAATTAGTGAAGGTCAAATATTTTCAATCTGAAAGGCTTCGATACATTGCTGAAATTACTAAATATACAGATATACAGTAAGTCAGTGGCTGAAATGTTTGGAAGATATTTACCAATAACTGCACATACTTTAAAAATATTACCAGATGATATTTTACCTCTCCCTTATATTATACAGATCGAAGTTTTGTTCTGAATTTCAAAAATAAAAAATAAAAATGAGTAAGCTGCAGACAAATCTCTACTGGTTCTTATTCCTGCTAAACAAAGTACAAGTAACTTGATTATTTTCTTCTTAAGCACTTCATTATTTGAGTGAAACGCATGTTCATCTACTGACTAACATGTCAGCATGCTGTATACTATTTTCCAAAATAAGTGTGATTTTTTTATTTTTGAAAGATGTGGAATGCCACACTTCTGCCACGAATGCCTTAAGCTTATTATGGCACAATCCTGCTAAACCACTTCAGTAGTGATTACATCACTGTAGTTGAAAGGTAGCTATGGTGAGTGCTACTGACCATTACATGAGTGTAAGAAATTGCAGAAAACCAATCGCACTGTGTTATTTTAAGGAAGAGATCTAAAACAGCCCTAGTTGTTGCAAAACTATTCTAAACTTGCCTTAGTTCTTTGCACAGATTGTCTTACGTCTGCTATACAGTTACTACAGTGAGCAGTCACAGTCAAAGACTCTCAGAAAAAGCAATCACACAACATTAAAAAAAAAATGTTTAGATAACAAATTTCTAAATAGAGCTCTTCCATACAAGTTGTGTGCAAGCTGCGTGTTCCTCCTTTCCACTGCCTCCAAGGCAGTCTCTGCTATTCAAAGGACACTTACATTCAAGGGCACATATAAAAGACACTTCCTCTGCTGTTTCTTGTGCACTGGGAATTGCACTGACATGCCTGGGAAGCTCTGATAGGGGCAGATCATCCAGTTCGGGGTTTTCTTGCACCATCAGGTTAGTGCAGAGAAGCCGGGGTGCAGCAGAAGACTGGATCATCAACTTATGACTCACACAAATGCTCAGAAAACATAACCATCTAATGTTTCAAGCTGGCAAAAATGAACATGAATGCATACAGAATGAAGGCCTTCGCATGTTGTCCCAAAGATGCTTGCAGGTCAGATTTCAATGTAACAGGTGTTAATACCACTTGATAATGGGAAGATTCAGCTAAATAGTTCCACTATGCCTCTCAACAGTTAAGTTCCACAATCACATCTACCAGTAGATAACTATCAGAACTTAAATTAATACTGCTCAGAATATATTCTCTTTAGAATCAGAGGTTGCTGAAAACTTCTCTTGATATGCACATTTAATACTTTTGATTTGATCAGCCATACCCTACATCCAGTGGCACTTCTAAAAGCTTTTTTAATACTAGCTATTTGTATACAAGCAAGTTTGATTTTTTTTTTTTTTTTTTTTTTTTTACTAGCAGAAGATGTTAATGTTACATTCCATCTTTATAAAATGTTAAAGTGCTCTGCAAAGCAAGTAGGTTCTCTGCTGATGCTCAGGACACAGATAGTCCTTTAGTACCCTTAGTTTCTAAGATATTCTTTGGCAGCCTAACTTGGGAATGTTTTTGACCTCACCTGTTTTTATATAGAAACAAAGAATTTCTGTACTCTAAGATCAGTGGCATGCTTGGCATACACTTCAGCAGTCTCCAGTATCAGCTTCAAAGCAAGGTGCATGGACCCGCAAAATAAGCAGACGTGGAACTAACCACCCACACACACAAAAAAAGGATATGGCCTACAAGAGCTTTTATGAAAGCTCAAACATATCAGTCTGTCATCCACTTTAAAGTTCATTAAAATTCAACTGCATTCTGCTTTATGTAACAATTTAGTTGGATAAAACATCAAAGAGAAAATATTCCAAATCTCTGTACTGCTTCCATTTCAGCCCCATGATGATGAAGAAGATGCTTAGAAGAAACATTTAGCGTAAATGAGGGAGCCCACTGTGTATATATGCCTGAGACTTTTTGGACTGAGTTACAGAATTGTGTATAGAATTTTGTACGTGTTCCTCAAAAGCATATAGTATTCTATCTGCCACATGCTAATGTGGATGCTAAATATGTAATTCATTGATTGTGTTGACTCTTTCTTTAATAAAATCAACAGATTGCTTTCATCATGATTCACTTAATCTCTGTGAATTAAGCAATTTTTCCTCATGACGTTCCAATATGAAAAGACTGTACTGATCAAATTTGTTTGAGGCTTCCAAGGGGAACGTATTCACTGAGCTATTACATAGAGAATTTTCATTCTCTACAGCTTGCTATCTTCACTATACCTTTTCACATATTACGGCAACTAAAATGATCAAAATCCTTTGCAGACAATGTCTTAGGTTTCATAGCTCTGTATTGAAAGCAAGGACTTCTCAGTCAGGGATGTAACTAGGAAATTCACGTTCCATATCATTGAACTATGCTGTATTTGAAGAGTTTTCTTCTCAGTGTCCAAAATAAACTGTGGCTTGTCAGTGGAAAAAGCTTTTACAAATTTGCTGTCTACATAAGCTGTGTGTATGCTCACAAATAGTCTTTTATTTATTTATTTATTAAAAAAGGACTGGTCTATACACTAAATTGGAGATGCAAATATATAGATTACCAGCCATTTTGCAGTAAAAGTTGTATCTACTATGTGTAACCTCCCTGTGTCCAAGTCTTTTTTTAAAAAAAAAAAAAAAAAAAAAAGTACATGGTTTATCAACAGAAAACAGTAAAGATTATTAAAAATAGTTACTTTCTGCAATCTCAACATCCTGCAAAGAGATACAGCATACCACCAGTTTCTCTATTCTGTTGGTTCTGAGTGGAGATTGCCCAACTGCTTTATCAGATGAACACTACTCATGATAAACTAGACAAGGCCTGTAGGACCTCAGTAAACTACAGTTGTAAAAACAAACTGTGGTTTCTATTTTGACTAATGTCCCATGAAAAATAATGAGCACATCCATATAGATTAAGAGAGAGAGTTGAAAGAGTTAAAACACCATATGTTACCTACCTTTCAGATCTGAAAAGCAGGCTCAGTTAATATTTCTGTAAGGAAAGAGTCAGAAACTAGACCACCATTTTCAAATTATTCAGCTTGACAGTTCAGGGTGGTATGATCCGCTCTGAAAAGTTACATCTTTTATCCATTAAGACACTTTTCACCTACTGCAGGCCTTGGAAAGAATATCAAATATACTGAGACAGGAATTCAGGAATAGCTGGCCTCAGGATCTCAACTCGGAATCTAATACTGAAAATCTAAATTTAACATTTGTCTCCACCTCTCACTTTCAAAACTGGCACCAAGTTCTCATTCCTTTCTCTCCTACAGTTCTAAACAGGACTTTCCGGCCACAGACTTGCACTTTGTGGAGAATGTCAAGAAGGCAGCAGTTGAGAAATTCAAACAAAAGCAGCTACTTTCCAGCAATATTAGCATATTGTATAAAAGCACAAGACAGCTACAGCAGGTGATAAACACCAAACCAGAAGCTAACAATACTGTAACAGGCACTGTTATACTAGAGCAAAATTCAATGACAAGGCAAGAAAAAAAGAAGTTCAGAGGGTAAATAACTTCTCTTAAGCAAACCACCACTTATTTGCAATGGCAAATGAATCCCTGCTAAGATGCACCTAAAGATCTGATCTGTTTCTCATCTCAGTCTTTTCCAATGGATGGTCAAGTATTATTCCCTTAGCTATCCATAGAAACATCTCACACTCAAAAGCTAAAGCTTTGTTGTGTTTATCACCTTTCTCTGATGCACAGGATATTTTTTACATTGATATCAAAATACCAATAGCTAAAGACAATAAAAGTAGCAAGGAAGAGGATGTGAGAACTATCCATCTTTTTCCTGTTTCTCCCTTCAACAGACAATGTTGCCATATTCCAAGTGTTTTATATACAGTCTTTTTATCTAGTTATTAATCTGTTTATGTCCAGGAAGGGGAACAAAAAAGTGACTTATATTAAAAAAAAAAAAAAAAAAAAAAAAAAAAAAAGGCTTGTTCTATTACCTTCTTCCTTACCTACCCCGGCCTCCGCACCCTGCCCTCCCCCCTCCAAAAAAGAAGTCTCTATCCTCTATCTCTGCATTGCTTCAGTTTTCGGCATGCAAAATAGGAATATGCTCACTTTTTTTAAAGAATGCTCACTCACTTTTTTTAAAGAATGCTCAGCATCCCTGGTAGTTAAGGATGTCATTATAAAAATAACTGAAGCATCAAATACTTGAACTAATACTGTTTGCAAAGAAAGAGGAAACACTGTATGTAACTGCTCACCAAATTCTCTTCAAACCACTCCCGTATACACATTGCTGTAGCCCCTGGAATTTGGCTTCGCAATGCTTCTTTCTCTTGAGGATCCTCTAACATTTCCAATGCCATCTTTAGATCTTCCAAGAGATGCAAAATTTGAAGTGTGCCCAGATATACTGATGGAGCAGGGGACACAATGTTGTAGCCACCATTGGCATACTCTGCAGCTGACTTTGTACCTAGAACAAGTAAAAACAGAAAATCATTTTAAATGGTTGTTTTGGAAGTGACAAACACACAAGTAACTGCCCACTACCATATGCAGACTTCAGATGCTAGTTGACAAATACCACCATTTCCTTTATGGCTTAGCTATACTTGAGTTAGTCACTAAATAAATAATGAATACTGGAGAATTAAGTGCAATAAGTTTATTATATGTAACATAGTTAAAAGAGAATTTTGACCTAACAATGCTTGTAATGGATTAAATTACCAACACCAAAACCTCACCACAAATTACCTGCAATTTTCCATGGTTACCATGAGATGTCACTACTTTCTCAAATACATAGCTGGAAGTTCCCATTCAGAGCAGTATTTCTCAAACAATACAAAAAAGATTTATGCAGTCTTTTGACAAAAAAAATAAGCTTAGATGAATATAGATCATGTTACCAGGAGCAGAAAAATCACAGAATCATAGAATGCTTAAGGTTGGAAGGGACCTCTAGAGGTCATCTAGTCCAACCCCCCTGCACACGGAGGGTCACCTAGAGCACGTGACACAGGACTGCGTCCAAGCGGGTTTTGAAGATCTCCCGAGAAGGAGACTCTCTGGGCAACGTGTTCCAGTGCTCTGTCACCCTCACTGTTACCAGGTTAAAAAGAAAACTCACAACGAACAAAAAATAAAGTTGGCAATAAGGATGGGTGACCAAAATTAGTTGGCTCTGAAATACAGAACAACCCCCCTCTACCCACCCATGACAACCAACGCTCTTTCCCCCCAGTAAAATCATTCAGCAACAATATTCTTTCCTCAAGAACAATAAGCATGGCAACAGACATATATCTCACTAGACCATAGATTTTAGTCATAAATAAGTTTCAATATCTCTTTGAAATAGTGTATTAAGAGGAAAGCAACAACAAAAAAGGATTCAACAGGACACACAGTAAGCATACGCAATCTTTGCTTGGTTCTGAATTTGAAACTTTTGATTTCATTAATATCCATTTGTTTCTTGAAGAACAAATAACTCCCCACCTGACTAGTTCTATCTACTACTTTTTAAATTAAAATTCACTTTACCTACATAATAGGCTGTACCTGTGTACCGATGAGAACTCATTCCCGCTCTCTCTAGCATAAGTTATCCCATTTTTCCCCTTATTTGATTTTTGAGATATTTTCTAAGGCTTTTGATCATTCTCACAGCCCTCCTCTGAAAACTCTTTATTTTGTAACATGCTTTACAGATGTATGATGAATTTATACTACATACATTATTCCTTAGAGGGCTGTATGATTGATCCACAAAAGAGGATCAGAATAATCTCCACATTATTTTCATTTTATTTATCTGGCTGTTTAACATTGTTTACATTTTAGGATGTAGTTATAAAAGGAACAGAAACCTTCACTGAACTACAGAAAATGATTTGCCAAGTCCTTTTCCTAAGCAGAAGTACTTAATTTAAAACCCAGATGCATGAGTAATTTCAGGTTTCCTTTTTAGTGCACACTGTTTTGCATTAATCAATGTTAGCTTGTCTGCTATGTTTATTTATTTACCATGGTACAGACACTACAAATTATGTTTGAACCCAATCAACCTATATGTATTTTACATATAGCCTGACATCTTGCCTACGAGGCACAACTCATGAAAATATTAACACTGCGTGTGTTACTACACTACTGGAATACCTTCTGCATCTGGATTAGTTTTTAGTCAATATGAAAACCAATCATTTATTCCTAATATTTCTTTCCCTCTTAATTATACTTTGATATAAGACAATATTATGTCAATGCTTAACTTTCTACAAAGCTTTAGGGAACATTCTAAACAATATTAATTGGGTCTTCTCCAGCTACTGTTTCAATGGCACAATTCTAACAGTTGTAACTATACAAAAAATGCTGTACAAAACCATGCCCAGAAATTTTGTAAAGCTCAGTAGTTGTTTACCTGTTTATTTTTAAAGCAACAGTGTACTCAGTTTCACTGCCAAACTGTTTCAAATACTCTTAAGATCTTTTCAAGATTGGGATAACACTATTTCAGCCTGTCTACTCATTTCTACTAGTCATGAATACATGAAATGAGATCATATCTTGATTTCTGGCTAAGAACAGACCTTTGATAATACTTCTTCAATACTCAGTGCTATGAACACTGCTACACTGAATAATTTCACCTGCTAAAACCTGCTTTTAAGGAGAGAGTGAAACAACTGCTTCGTCACATTTTAACACCCTAACCTCAACAGGGTTTCATTTTCTTGTGTATTTCTAGACCCTTATGCCAGCATAGTCCTTCCTTTTGTAATGTTAAATTCTAGCAACTAAAAAGAGCAGAATTCCAAATTATGCAAGAGCCATTTGGATCACACAGCCTCTCAAACCCGCTCACTCATTTGGCCAGAGTGGCTCACTCCTGCTTCAAGAGATTTGCATGCCACTCTGAAAACTGGAACTGTCTCCTTAAGTAACGTTGATGCAACTTTTGGGGAAGTTGCCTCCTTCGCTGTTGACATTAGGCCTTTTGGACTAGTTTCCTCATTTCTTCCTTTCAAAAACTTCATGCAATATTCTTCTGTCCTCTTTCATCCCCTGCTCCCCTAGAAGTATTTTGCACACCAGAAAGTAAGCAGGACCTGAAGTTATTTTATCATCAGCTTTGGTAATTACTGCCCCACCGAACTGAATCTGAAATAGTTATGAAATGTTTAAAACTTGACAGGGAAGAGGCAAACTGGGTTCTTCTCATACATCAAAAGCTAAATGTAGAATTCATCACACTAGAGAACATTCTGCTATTGATTTTTTTTACACGACTTGCATGCAACAGTTTTCACAAAAAGAGCATTTTTTCTTTAGCCAACAGATACAGACAAGGGAGGAACAAATATATGAGAAAAACAAGGAAAAATATACATAGGCTTTCAGGCACACAGCCACTACTCCACATGTGAAACAGAAACAACAATCTTCAAGGCACAAGTATAAACAAATTGCTTTAGATTTAAATTAATCTTATTAATTATTTTACACAACCTGATATACAGCCAGGTTGCACCTACTACTGCAACTATTCTTTCTGTTTCACAGTACTGGTGATATCTTCCTTCATCACTCTAAACTTATCATATCTCTCTTCTATCCTCAGACTATCATGCCTACAGTATTACAGCCAATATTCACCTTCTATAGAAAACAAATCTCTAGGAAAATAGACAGTGCAAGGCATACATTTTGACAGGCCTATATTTGACTTGATTCTATAGAAACACTTGAAAAATCACACATATGCATGTGCACACACATTCATATGTACACAGATGCACTTTAATCTCAGTAAATTGTTGCCTTGAGAAACTCAGTTCTACAAATTTAAAAACTCTCAAGTATTGAAGCACAGAGTCAGGCAGAAATTCCACACTGGCCAGTTTCCTGAGGCTGGACATACTCTGTACATGAACTTCACCTAAGCCAAAAGTTTCAGCTGACTCATCAGCCTACACAAGTGCCGGGGCCTTGGCATAAATTGCACATATTGAGTCTCCACAGCCACAGTCTAAGGTGGGCCTTGGAGGATAATCCTGTCCTTATCAGGGACATTGGGAAGACAGCAACACATCTGTTTGTTACTGGGAAAGAACATAAGCTTAATATCTAGTGATTAAGTCAAGTCAAATTAAGAGTTTTCAGCTTTTTTTTCTTGCTGTTCCCTTTCCCTGCCTTGACTTTATTTTCCATGTAAGTTTGCATTAAACAAGGAGCAGAAAGAAACCAGGAGAAAATGTTTCTCTACTCATTATTAACTTCAAGAGATGCAACAAATGAAATTCTTTGAAGACATCCATATGCCAAGTTCATGTACGCTGTGCTTTAGAGAACCACCTAACAACACACAAAAGCTGGTATCTCTCATGACTTGTGTCACCTTTATGACAGGGAATTAATTTTGAACATAAATAGTAAGGGATTTTATGAACTCCTACAGGAGACAATAAAGATACTTCAAAGTACTTCAAATAATAGCAAAGGCACAGACAACAGTTTATTTTGTATGCTTAGATGCATATAGGTGCATTACAAATGAACTGCCTAAAAGTGGACTTCTTTCTTATATGCACTAGTTCCATTAAACCTTGAAAGGAATCTCTAGCAATTAATATTAAATGAAAGGAGTAGACATCGAAAGGTTTGATCTCATAATTTAAAGATTTTCAACTGAGACTAGTATCCATGAAAGAAACTATTAAAGAAAATCTATACTTTACAAGATTTGCATTTATATTTTAAAAACAGGGTGTCATGAGACCAGAATGACCAGTGTTTGATACCATTAGAAAAAAAAAAAAAAAAAAAAAAAATCAAACTGTACTTGTAACCTCTTTTGATCAGCACATGGAGAATACACGTCGTATTTCTGAAACACATAAAGAAATTCTAGCTCTCAGAGCAAGATCTCACCAACAAGTCAGTGGGACTGTATATATGCTTACAATCAAGTAAGGGCTGAAACTGCGAAGCAAGCCTTCGCATGAGTAACTCTCCCTGCCAGGAATGGTAGTTAACCACAGATTTCAATGTATCTCTAAAGAGAACGTGACTCTTCCATCAAATACATGCACACACTGTCCTTCTTTGTAAAGTTATTTTTAACTCGCTTCTCTGTGTGTTGCTACTGCAGCCCCTTTCATTCTCCCAGTTGAAAGGGAAAATAAAGGCAAAACCAAGGCACTTTTCATTAGAGAGGGAAGTGATCCAGGGAGGGAAGTGATCTAGAAATGCAAAATTAGATTCAGCATTTTAGTTCAGAAAACTTCCCATTTCACTACTTAAATTCAAATGACTCATTGGCTTTCTTCTCTTATTTGCTTTCCATGTTATTTCATATTAAATAGGACATATATTGCTCGACACAAGGACAAGAACACCACACCATGAAAAACAGAGCTAGAAGTATGTAAGAATAAATATTTAGGTAAATATCATTTATGT